TGCATACACAATCCACTATTTCTGAGACCAAACTGATCAACACTGAATGGTTTTAATACAGTACTACATTGCACCTATTGCACAAGCAACACTGGTTAACAATTTCTGTTGTAGTTCCATCCTCATGATACCAATGCTTGAAACCAATCAGAGATAATTATTTTTGCTCAGCATATGACAGTGCCAAGATATATAAAATTGGAAGTGAACCTTTCTACTCACATTTAGCTTGTTGCCATTTGCCGAAATGAAGTCTGTGCTAACTGTCCAAGGTGATGGCTTTACACAGACTGCCTGATACATGTAAGGTTCTGACTGTTCCTTTATCTACTAAAAATTCAACCTCACACTCATACAGCAATATTAATGCATACCATGTGATGCCCAGTGCATGGTTCTCGAAATCAACCACATTACACTGTATATCAGTTGATTGCTGCTCTCACCCAAGTGGGCAGCCAGATCCAACTCAGATCTCCCTAACATAAACTAGCTGGAGTAACTGCATCCAGAATTCTTCATCAATCTTTCTGTATCTGTTGGAACATTGTTTGTTATTGTACTATCTGGTTGTTTGTTTGGTTATTGGGGTTTATTGATGCAAAGCAGTATGGCTATCTACGCCAAACCACCACTGTAAAAATAAAAACAAATGGTAAAAGTCCATAAAAAGTAAAAACAAATCAAGTTAAAAGCTAAACAATGTCCAAAAGACTAGTAAAAACTCAAATAGACGTAAAAAGGCCAATGGCCTGTAAAATGCTAAAAACACAATCAAGTTGGACAGTGGTACCATCGCCAATGACACCATCCAACGTCAGAGATAAACCCTAAGATAATACATGTCTAAAATGGTGCCATTGCTCCCACTCGTAATGACGGCACGAAAGTAAAAGATGGGCAATTGTTACTTGAGTGTCACAAAGGCCACACATTGGTGGATCAGTCCCACATAAAAGAAAACGATAACTTAAAAAGATTTTTCAGCCAAAAAATAAAATAAATACAAATTCTAGTCCACTTAATCATAACAAAAGCATTTTACGTTTTGAAATTCAAGTTCCATATAACTAATGATAGGACTAACTTCATAAATAAATAGTCTCAACAGAAATTCCACTTACTTGCTAATTTAAGTATGGTACTTCTTGTGTGGCTTTGTGAAAGCACAAACTCAAGGTGTTTAGCACTGAGCTAACCAACTGTCTTAATTAATTATCAATAACTAGTCTCATCTAGTCAAATAGCATGCATTTGATATTACTAAAATTATTTCCTACACTTTCAAGAAAGTTTTAGTCATTAGGACACAAAAGATCATCATGTGATGTCAAAAACTTCTAGCAAAAAATAAATACAAAAGGATGAATTAAAAAACTTCCTTGTCTTCCTTATCGCACCCTCCCCCACCCCAGTGACTCAGCAGTAAGCTTGAGAGCTTATGGGTTACAGATCTAAGTTCTATACACGTGGTGAGTACAGCGCATATAACCCATTGTGTAGTTTTGCGCTTAAATACATAATAAAACCAAAAACATCTTATGACACAGATCACCAAATAGCTCAGCAAAAAGCTTGAGGGCTTATGCGCTAAATAAATGTGTTTGTACCCGTGGTGGGCATAGAGAATTGTATTTTTGTTCTTAAACACAAAACAAAAAATCCTTATCACGTACAGATCATCAAGTTGTTTGTTCTACTGTTCGTCGATTTTTCAAATGCCGGTGAAACCCAGCTTTATTTTCTGCTATTATTATTAAGATATTATTATTATTTTCCGATGTAAAATCCATGTTAGAGTTGGATTTTTCTATGTATTAAATAATCTCTAATAGTGGATTTTATCCAGATTCTTTTCTCTACTTTGTTGACTGCTTCTTTTTTAATCAAATTCAATTTTAACAACTAAACAGTAGCAGGTTCTCTGTCGAACTATATTTGTTTACTGTTCCAACTTTCAACTGTGTATTTCATCTACTGTTTTCTATATTTTATGTCTTTAATTCGCTTATTTCAATTTAAGTATACATATTTGGTTCCATTTCTTTTCCCACGTGATGTATTTCAATAACTTTAGCTTCGTCGCAGTTGCATGTTATAGAACCACACACACATGCGCTCCATCTGTGAACAAAGTCCTCTAATCTTGTCATTTCACTGCCACTCTATTAGTGTTTGGCCCGACATGGCCAGGTGGTTATGGCGCTCGATTCGCAATCTGTGGGTCGCAGGTTCGAATCCCCCTCACACCAAACATGCTCGCCCTTTCAGCCGTGGGGGCGTTATAATGTG